GAGAGGGAGGGAGGGAGAGAGAGGAGAGAGAATTTTTTAATATTTACTTATTAGTTTTCGGTGGACACAACATCTTTGTTTGTATGTAGTGCTGAGGATCGAACCCGGGCTGCACGCATGCCAGGCGAGCTCGCTACCGCTTAAACCACATCCCCAGCCCTAAAAATAATCTTTTAAAATAAAATAATAAAATAAAGGCATCGTGTCCATCTACAACTAAAATAAAACAAAAATAAAAACAAAACAAAACCTTAGCACTCCTGTACTAGTGACTCAGGAAGCTGAGGCAGGAAGACTGCAAATTAGAGGCCAGCCTTAGCAGTTTAGCAAGACCGTGTCTCAAAAAATAAAAAGGACTGGAGATACAACTCAGTGGCAAAGATCTCCAAGGGTTCAAATCCCCCCGCCCAAAAAAAGAGTAAAATGAGAAAACATTTTGAGATCAATTTGCACCTATAAAAACATATATTTAAAAAGGTAGAATATAAAAAAGAAATAGGATATAAGAATAAACCTATAATAAGAGATTGGATTAGTTAGTAACTTTTAAACCTTCTACTGAAAAAAGGCCCATGATCAGATGGCTTCACTACCTAATATTTAAATAATTAATGCCAACCCTTTACCAAGTTTTCCAAAATGTGAAAGAGAAAAATACATTTCTTAACTCATACTATGAGGCCAATATTAACCTGCAACCAAAATCAGTCAGAAATCATAAGGAAAAACCAATATAGATACAAAACCCTTCACAAAGTACTAAAAAAATCTAGTAACATATAAAATTAATTGTTATCTATGACAAAGTGGAATTTATTCCAGGAGTGCAGAGTTAAACATCTGAACATCAATTAATGTAATATACTATTTCAAAAAATAAAGGACAGAACCATAGGATCAAGTTTGTAGCATTACACAAAATCCAACACTCGGGCTGGGGCTGTAGTTCAGTGGCAGAGTGCTTGCCTAGCATGTATGAGGCACTGGGTTTGATCCTTAGCACCACATAAAAATAAACAAATAAAATAAAGGCATTCTGTCCATTTATAACTACAAAATTTTTAAAAAAAAATCCAACACTCATGCATGATGAAAACATTCAACAAACTAGTAGAAGAAGGAAAATCCTCAACCTCATAATCCAGAGAAAGCTTTATCATGCTGTAACAAAGTGATCAAGTAGCCATTTTTGCCACTTTTCTTCAAAATATACCTAAAGTTCTAGGTTTGACAATTAGGCAAGACAAAGAAGAAGCACTGATATTTGAAAGGAAGAAATAAAACTATCCCTTTTTGCAGATGACATAATTCTAGATACAGAAAATTCTAGGGAATCACCTGAAAAATTATAGTTAATAAAGAAGTTCAATAAAGTTGCAGTATATGCAGTCAATATACAAAATTAAATTGCATTTCTTTATCCTTTTTTTTGTGGTGCTGGGGATTGAAGCCAGCGCCCTGTGCATGCGAGGCAAGCACTCTACCAACTGAGCTATATCCCCAGCCCCCTTAAATCACATTTTTATAGTACAATGAGTAATCAAAATGAAATTAAAAAAACAATTCCATTTGCAATAACATCAGAAAATACTTAGAAATAAATTTAACAAAAGTACAAAACCTACACTCATTGCATAAAACATTGTTGAAAAAATTAAAGAGGAGCTATTTAATTTTTATTAAATAGAAAGATATCTGGAGGGGCTGGGGATGTGGCTCAAGAGGTAGCACGCTTGCCTGGCATGCGTGTGGCCCGAGTTCGATCCTCAGCACCACATACAAACACAGATGTTGTGCCCGCCAAAAACTAAAAACAAATAAATATTTTAAAATTCTCTCTCTCTCTCTCTCTCTCTCTCTCTCTCTCTCTCTCTCTCTCTCACACACACACACACACACACACACACACACACACACACTCTCTCTCTCTAAAAAAAAAGAAAGATATCTGGTGGTCATGTGTTAGATGGCTTAATATTGTTAAGATGGCAGTACTACATAAATTATGTACAGATCTGAGGCATTACCTATTAGAATAATACTTGGATTCTTTGTAGAAAATGGCAAACTGATAATAAAATTGAAATGGAATTTCATGACCTTGAGTTAGGCAGTTATTTCTTAACTTTGAAACAAAAGCACAAGCAATAAAAGTTAAAAAAAATTAAAAACTAGACTTCAAAATGAAAAACTTTGGTGTTCAAAAGACACAAACAAAAAAGTGAAAAGACAATTCACAGAATAGATAAAAACTTATTGCCAGTGTATATTTAGATAGGGATTTACTTCTAGAATATAGAAAGAACTCTCACAAACCAGTAACAAAATACAAATAACCCAATTTAAAATGAGCAAAAGAGTCTGAATATTCATCCAAAGAAAATATACAAATGGCCAATAAGCACAAGAAAGGATGCTGAATATCAACAGATATCATGGTAATGCAAATCAATACCATAATGCATATTACTTCACATCCTTTAAGATACCTAGAATAAAAAATACAGATAACAAGTGTTGGGAAAGATGCAGAAAAATTGAAACTTCACACATTGCTCATTACTGTTTACACTAAGATATCTACTGATTGATTGCCTCCCTGACAAAATTGCACCCAGATATGTCTTATTAATTACAGTGCCTGGTTCATTGTATGCATATATTAAACATTTGTTCAATGAATTATCTTCCCTACTCAGTACATTTTTTTTTGTCATTTTGTTAGATTTCTTCATGTTCCAGCCTGTTGAGGAAATTTGGAAACTAGATTCTTTCAGAGTATTTGCAATCCCACCCTGTTGTGTCATCCATGAATTTGAAATGTACACTATATGAATCCTCTTTGAGTCACTGATAATGTTGAAAATGACAAAGCTGAGGATAAAGTAATGAGAAGGCACCCTTCCCTCTGCCCACATTATTATCAATCCAATAAATCAGCATGTTTCTGCAAAGACTCTATATTATCTGGCCTACATTTTCCATAGGATTATATGAGAACTTTCACTTCTATGAAACCTCTTACTTAGCACCACCTTTACCCAAGGAGAACTAATCATTTCCTTATCTTTCTCACAACTACCTTTTCTCACTTCACCTCACTATGCTATATTAATTTGTTTACTAGTCTGTCTTCACTATAAGCCTAAGCTCTCTTGCAAGACAGAGACTTATTTAAGTTAAGTGAATCCCTAAAGCCTACCACAATGCCCAAAATTTAATCGATACTAGAAAAAATACTGAACATGTATTACAATTCAGACACACTAAATTTGTGGCATTTCCTATTTTTGACATTATAGTATCACTATGTAAAATCTAAGTCTTTTAAACGCCCTTACCTGCAGCAAAAAGGAGGCAGCATAGCTTAATAGAGAAGGGTGACAGACTAAATTTAAACTGTTTTTATATTCCATTATTCCAGCACTTTGTAGGATTTGGAGGTCAATATATGTTCCTTTCTCAAAGGGTTTGGATGTCCACAGACAACCAACCATGGTTGTCAAATACTGATTAAATTGTTGATAGGTCTTGCTGCTGAAATTGAACTCTGATTTTGCCTAAAGAGTCAAAGAAAGAAATAAAATTGTCATTATTATCTATTCTTCCTTTCCGTCTTATTCTGAACAGGTCAGTTTTTAAACAACAGTGATTTAACACAGAGATTTATCACTCATACCTTTTGTACCAACTCATTTTTCTTTGCTGCACTCAAATTTTTATGATACCTAATGGTAAAAACAAATAGAATGAAATGTTTAACATGCCTTTAGATACAATGCTTTTGAAATACAAATAAATAAAACCTTACATTTTAAATGCAAATGTATGTAAGTCTATACAAATATTCAGTTGTCTGGCTGATGATTTAATCATTTTATGACACATTCTACTCAAAGAATTTTAAAAAATAGAGATTCAAAACTGAGTTGTACATTTAAGATGTGCATTTGACTATATGTAAAATGTATCTTATTTAAAAAAAAGACAAAACAATGACAGACATGCTTTTTTAAAAATATATATTTTTTAGTTTTAGGTGGAAATAATACCTTTATATTATTTTATTTACTTATTTATTTTTATATGGTGCTGAAGATTGAACCCAGTGTCTCACACATGCTAGACAAGTGCTCTACCACTGAGCCACAATCCCAGCCCAACAGACATGATTTTAATGTTTCACTATTAAAAATTAATAAAGGTGGGCTGGGGTTGTGGCTCAGAGGTGGGGCACTCTCCTGGCATTCATGAGGCACTGGGTTAAATTCTCAGCACCACACAAATATAAAATATAAAATATTGTATCCACCTAAACCTAAAAAATGTTTTTTTAAAAAGAAAAAATTAATAAAGGCTCAGTGCTATAGCTCAGTGGTAAAGCACTTGTGTGAGGCATGTTTGAGGCACTGGGTTCAATTCTCAGCACCACATAAAAATAAAGATATCGTGTGTCCATCTACAACTAAAAAAAAAATTTT